GGCGGTTCCTCGAAGGCGTGTGCCAAGGGGCTTCCCCGGGGCTTGGCGTCCCCCCGCTGCCCGGCTTGACCTGCCCGCCCCGCGCCCTTTTCGTCCGCCCGACTCGGACTTCCGCGGGCAGGTCACCTGGGAAGGAAAAGGCCCGCGCGCTCCGGAGGCTGAGTTCGCTCGTCCCCCCTCCCTCCTCTTAAGCGACAAGACTCTTGTTCTTGGCGCTCCTGTCACACCAGCTTCACTAGCCCTTCCTTCCTCCCTTTGTTTCTGTTTTCCAAGGCTGCACAATTACTGTTTTGGCTGCTCAGGTTAAGTAAGCAGTAAGTTCTTTATTTTTAAGTTTTAAGTGGTCCTGTAAATAAATGCAGTAAGCCTAGCTCTGGGGAGCATTCAGTTCTTTGATTAGTGACGGTCCCCAAAAATTTTACACCCAAAGAGGTGTAAAGCCGCATGATCACCACAAATGAAAAAATGACTTTTTGACAACCTCTCCAACATTTGGAACGATACTTTTGGTATCTATGTGCCAGCCTAACAGGAGTCAAGTACCAACAACATATAACCTTCCTTTGCATTCCCTGCATTGAAGCTGAAGTGAATCCTCCTGGTTTCTGTAACTGCTGCCAATTTGTCTCGTGTGTGGATTACCAAGATCAGTACCCCAAGCTTCCTTTAAACCATATGGTGGATCCCCTTTTTCTGATTGCAGTAATAACCTATACATTTTTTAAATTGTTCCTTTTGGTGGTTCTAAATAAGGAAGTATTCTGGAAATTGGTACAGGGCCATATTGCTGAATCTCTAATATTTCTATTGCTCCAAAGAGATTTAAGTTGATAGCAGAAGAGCTGTGGTAATTTATCAACTATTCTTTGCTCAATCTGATCCTTATTGAAAAGTTCCCTGTTACTATGAAAGCTTCTTAGTCTATAAAGGTTATATTCTCTCAATGATTTCATTTTAGCCAAGCCATAATAATTATCCTGATTGATAAGTGTTATTAGAGGAGTTAAAGGGGAAGCATCTTTTATCAAAACTCTGCATCTAGTCTTCCAAATGTGAAGCATACTCTTGGTAAAAACGATTTCAATCTGTTTTATTCTAGGAAAATATTTTGGGTGAAAAAACCATTGATTTATAAACTTACCTGGCTCCAACATAGTTTCAGTATGAATCCATTGTTTAGAAGAGTCTGCCATAATAAATGGGCTCATATGCCCTAACTGTGCTGCTCGGTGATATATTACCAAACTGGGCATGCCCCAGCCTCCGTTTCTGAGGTCTATATAAAATCCTTTTATTTGCTCTCAGTTTTTCTGCGTGGAAAAGGGAGCTTTCTATTTTTCTTTGCCAATATCTTAAAGGCTGTTCTGCAATTACCATTGGGAGGCACTGAAATAAAAAGTTAAGCTGTGCAAGAATTTTCACTTTAACCACCGCAATTCGTCCTAAAATATTGAAATGTTTTAAAGCCGTTTTCCATTTCTTTACTGAATTTCTTCCAAGTTGGTACATAATTATTTGTAAAAAATTTTACTAATATTTTTAGTTACAGTAATGCCTAAACATTTTAAAGATTTATACACTGTTGGAATCCCTAAAACTGTGGAAATTTCCTTTTGAATTTTTGGGTGCGTATGAAAAAACATCAGATCTGATTTATGAAAGGTGCAGATTGGTGGGATCATCAATGGGCAGTCAATGTCTGCCTGATTTTACAAACAGTGCAACAAAATTTAGCTACGTTCAAGGAAA